CTTGGTAGCCCAGGCTGGCCTCGAACTCACAGAGATCCGCCTGGCTCTGCCTCCCGAGTGCTGGGATTAAAGGCGTGCGCCACCGCCGCCCGGCATTTTTTATTCATTTTTTAAGTTTGAAACATGATCTCACCAAATTCCCTAAGCTGGCCTTGGCTGGACGATCCTCCTTCTCACTAGCTGGTATCACAAGCCTACATACAGGACCACACCCAAGTTGTTTAATTAGTTCACTCCTACCCTGTGGCAGTCCCAGGATGTCTAAAAAGACATCTATAATGGTGTCTAAAGGCTCCAGGCAATCACTGAGAAGATTAGCAACCAGAAGACAGTCCTGTGGATCCCTATAAAAGCCATGATCCTAGAGCTCCTGGCACTTTCCTGAGAGATCTCAGAAGAGTCAAGGCTGCTGCAGGGATGAAGACAGGACCCTGGAGGTAAGTGAACCAGGGAGGAAGGTGGCTTAGCAAGGCTGTGTGTTCATATGCGGAAAAGAGGCTGCTGCAAGATTTAGCTGGGCATGAAATGAAGTACCTGCAACTCCGCACCAGGGAGCTGAGGCAGGAGGATTACGCGTTAAACAGAGAAGGAATTCCCTGCTGCTACTCAGGGCGGCAAGGTGAGGAGTTCACAGCAAACAAACAGAAGAGCCCCCAGGTACATTGAACCTCCGCTGTGTCCTTTGATGAACTTCATTCTGCCTTGTGATCCTGCTAATCACCATGATGCTTCGCAGATTCCAAGCCTGGATTCCACCTTGCTCCCGTCTGCATCTCTTGATGCTCTCGGTGGGTCACATGGTTGCATGCTGGAATTTGTTTGTTTGTTTATGGTTTTACCAGACAGGGTTTCTCTGTGTAGCCCTGGCTGTCCTGGAACTCACTCTGTAGACCATGCTGGCCTCCAACGCTTTTCTTTTCCTTTTTCTTTTTTTTTTCAGAGCTGAGGATCGAACCCAGGGCCTTGCACTTGCTATGCAAGTGCTCTACCATTGAGCTAAATCCCCAACTCTGGCCTCAAACTCATAAGAGACAGGTCTGCCAGGTGGTGGTGGTGCACGCCTTTAATCCCAACACTCCGGAGGCAGGTGGATCTTTGTGAGTTCAAGACCAGCCTGGTCTACTAAGTGAGATCCAGGAAAGGTGCAAAGCTACACAGAGAAACAAAAAACAAGAACAACACATACAAACAAAAAAAGACAGGCCTGTCTCTGCCTTCCAAGTGCTGGGATTAATTCGTGTGCCAACATCGCCCTGTTTTGGCTGTTATTCCTTCTTGTTTGTTGGATGGTTTTTTATTTTTTGGGTTTTTGTTTGTTTGTTGTTGTTTTTGTTTGGTTGGTTTTTTTTGTTTGTTTGTTTTTGTTTTCCCAAGACAGTGTTTCTCTGGGTAGCTTTTGGAGCCTTGCTCTGCAGACCAGGCTGGCCTCGAACTCACAGAGATCCGCCTGGCTCTGCCTCCCCAGTGCTGGGATTAAAGGCGTGCGCCACCACCTGGCATGATGTTTGTTTTTAACTTTATTTCTGCATTGCTGAGGACAAGACCCAAGGTCTCAAAGATGCCAGGCAAGCACTCTACCAACTGAAGTACATCTCCAACCTTGCATCTCATTTTGTTCTTGTCTCTCTGTCTCTGACAGGGACAGGGTCTTCCTATGTAGCCCAAGCTGGCCTAGAACTCAGACCTTTCTGTCTCTGCCTCCAGAGTACTGGGATTATAGGCGTATACACCATAATGCCCAGTCTGCAATTAACTGTGTTATTTATATTAAAATTATCATTTTAATTATTAAAATAATTAATCCAGGTACTAGGCACACAGAGAAAGGCAGATCTCTGTGAGTTGGAGTCCAGCCAGAGCTCCACAGAGAGACCCTGTCTCAAGAACCATTTTGTGTGCTGTGGCCACTGCTCTTCTAGAGGACCCAGATTTCATTTCTAGTGCCCACAGAGACTCACAATTGCCCACAGCTCCAAGTCCTGTGCACTAGGCACAAATGTGGTCCAGAGACAAACAGTCATATAAAACATCCAAACACGTAAAATTTAAAGTTTTAATTTTTTTTCTATTTTCTTTTGGCCAAGCGTAGTGGAGTCAGATACATGCAGATCTCTGAATTCAAGGCCAGCCTGGCCTCTGTGGTCATCTTTCACAGAATCCAGTCACAACCCATATTTTTTTGTTTGTTTTTTTGTTTTTTTTAAATTTATTTTGTATAGAGCATATATCACTGCAGGCCAGAAGAGGGCATCTCGTTATGGATGGTTGTGAGCCACCATGTGGTTGCTGGGAATTGAACTCAGGACCTCTGGGAGAGCAGTCAGTGCTCTTAACCTCTGAGACACCTCTCCAGCCCATTTTTTTGTTTAATAATTTGTTTTGTTTTGCTTTGAGACAGGGTTTCTTTGTATATAGCTCTGGCTGTTCTGCAACTGGATCTGTATACCAGGCTGCCCTCAAACTCAGATTAAAGGTGTGCATCATCAAGTTGGCTACAAACATTTTTTTCTCTCAAGCTTTTTTTTTTTTTTTTTATTGGTGTG